CTACGTTAGAAAGGCCTTTGAAACATCGTTTGAACTCAGTGAAAATTTTACTACACATGACGTACAACTACCTTTCGCTAAGTTTATCACTCCAAAGACTATTCATTGAATGCTGATGTCACATGACTTCCAAACTTTAATCAGTCCTTAAAAGGATTCAAATGTAATTCTGTATTTATTGTATATAATTCGTTTTCTTTTCTTTCCATTGTTATCTATTACTGCATTACGAATGTTCCTGTATTTCCATGTATTTATCACCGCATTTGATTCCAGATCATTTGGTATTTTTAAGGACTCTGCCTTATTGTACGCAGTGGTAACTTTCCTGATCACATGACCAGCGACAGCCATTCGCTAAGCTTCCTCAGCAAAGCTTATTTATTGGCTCACGCAATCACATGACTTTTCTCGCCTTTGAACGCTGAAAATGAATATGAGAATGGATTTTTATGAAGCTCAAATGCATAATTACTCATTTATTCTTTTAGGCCAACCAGCGGCCGAGTGGTAAAATCGCTGAACACTGGTAGTTCGGTCCGAGGTTCGAATCCCGCGAACGGGCTGGCTGCATGGGCGTTTTCGTGGTTTTCCCCATATGTAACGTGTATACGAGCCAGTTTCCTTTAGAAAGTCCTCCACGAAGGCGTCTCTCCCTTTAGGCGGACAGCCCTCGAGCCTTTACCATAAACACACACATTTATTCTTTTATATTTTTGTCATATTTCTTTATGTACCCGTTTTGTTTTTTACCTGCTTTTGAACTGCAAGCCATGTTTCTCATTGTCGACTTGTTGCAGTGTCACATAACCTTTCATGACCAACCACCATGAGCGCTTTCTCATTGATGGAACCAGCTCACGTGACCTTTAACCCCACCAGTTCCAGATTCTCTCTCGAGGCCCCTGTTCTAACATCGCAGCAGAAAGCTCCATCATGGTAAACAACTGATAGTACTTCTCTCGATACCCCAACATCACTTCCGTCTTTCGGGAACCAGTTTTCACCGATATGTCATATAATCATGTGCTGGTTACGGCTGTATTTCAACAGAACTGATAACGTCGCCCTAGCGCGATAAATCAGTTGCAATTCAATACTGGTATTGGTAGATCCACATGATGCCCAAAACTTCACCTTCAAAACCGCATCAACACATAGTCTTCACTTGCCGGTTTTTCCGAGAATAACCGTTGATAGTGCAGAGCTCTGGAACATTGTAGTTAGACGAGGAGCATTTTTCCCTTAACGGAGTAATGACTATCAGAATTGTCGCGTATAGAGTACTGCAAATCTCAGTGTTGTACATGTGCATTCTGATTCTGCGACAGTATGGTGTTTCACTGCTGAATTCATTTTTGGTCCCCTTTTTCTCTTAGCGGAGCACTTCTCAAGATCTTGAAAGATGTACAGTCACGAACACCAGTTACTGCGAACTTTTACGACACTAAGTCATCCTCGTCTTTCATGAGTGTGTTGTCTTCATGCGAGATTGTGCAGCATCCCATATTGGCTGATAAGTGAAGGACCTGCTTTATGCCACTTTGGAGATGATCGAGTAATTTCGATGTTTCTGAACGCCTTGCTTCGTCGCTGTCTGTGTTTGAATCCCTGTGACTTCTGGTTGTGGTGATTCCAGAAAGATTGCATTCATGGAGAAAGCATATAGACTCTGCCTGAATTGAAAGGAAACATAACACGCCTTGTCATTGCAAATTCCTCAAGAAATCCTTCGCTATTGTTGAACATGTTATAACGGCTTTGAACATGTAATTGACGCACAGGGAATACTCATTGAACAAATGCTGTGATTAAAATTTTATTTTTCCTATTTTTCTTATTCTTTATGCTGTACCTTTTCACTTGGTGATATTTATTTGAACTATGTTTTATTGCAGATTTCTTTTTTCCGTGATCCTTATAACAAATACATCCAAGTTTCAACAAAATACGTCAACCAGAATGGACTCTTCATAGGCAGAGTAGCGTCAGTTTAATTATAATCACCTTGTAATATGAAACTAATTCCAAAAAGTTTCGTTTTTTAAGGGCTTCTTTGGAAAACTACTTTTCTTTCGTCGTAACTTGTTTGCAGGATCGTTTTCTGTGACTCGTTAATTTGTGAAAAATAAATTGTATTGGGGCCTCTTTTTTTTTTTTTTTTTTTCCCAGCAGAATGAGGCTGGCTGCATTTCAACATTTTCCCATTCTTAGTCCTCTTCGACATATGCAAAAATTTGAATAAAACCAGGTATATTTGAAATTCTCTCTTTTTTTTTTCTATTGTAGTTTCATGCCTGTTTCTTTATATTTTAAAACGTGGCACTGATATCCAAAAATTATATTTTTAATTGATAAAAATTAGTAAATTTAAATGTTACCCGAATTTTCCACAATTAGTTATTGCATATATCTATATTATTACTTAATCGTATGTGAATGTAAATAAAAATTAAAAATACCATCTTATTCTCATAACAAATGTATCCCATTGTGCTTTTTGGCCTTCAAAAAGTGCTTTTGCGTGTAATATACTTTTACTTTTTAATCTACGCGGTGAAGAGGAAAGAAAAGGGAAGTTCCGTTGAGATAATGGTACCTTTCATCCGTATTGTATGTCCTTGATTTTTTTTTTTTTTTAATCGTCTATGAATGTGATGTCTTTTCAGGAAATAGCAAACCTGATTTCGTGACGGAGTTGAATTCTGTGCGAAACACTACACAGGATGCTCGAAACAAATGACTTCTCCTTTTTATTTCCTTAAATATTGATTCTAGACGTATACTACTAATAAAAGAGTTTTTTCCCCAATTAGGTAGAAAATTTTATAAAAGCACTCTCAATTCTGTAGGTGTTGGATGAGAGATATTCCCCCCCCTTTTCTCATAAAATTAAAATTCTAATTTTTAAAATAATCATTATATTTTAAATGATTGGAAGGGAATCCGCATTTTGATATGAAAGTTCACTAGGATACGCATGATAAATATTTTCAGAAGAGCAGTTACTTATTAAATTAAAAAAAACGCTGTATTACTCAGAGCAGGACTATTAATCGCTAATGTGCATAACCAGCATTTTGCTTTGTAGCTGGTTCCTAAATTTGTTCGTGAATCTGAGTTGATATGCGAAAAATACCCAGTTCATATAATTAGATCTGGAATATCTCCACGAATTTTGCTCATAAAAGGTACGGAAATTTTTGTTTTTAGCTACGTAAAGTATAATGAGTTTTTTATTATACAATTTCTTGTCTATGAAGACTAGATAAAAGTTATATTTCTTCTTTATAGAAATCTCTCCGTTAATAGAGTTGAGACTGCTTTCAGAAATGACATTATCAGAACATTGATAAACAGATGGATAATTTTTAAAAAATTTCGAAATTTTATGAGTAGCAAATGATTTTGCCTATCAAAAATGATACGAGGTTGGCGGTAATTATGTTGAAAAGCATTGCATATCTAAATACTAAATATCGTACGGGAGAATTAATTATTTTTCTACATTATTTCTATGTGATTAGGAGGACTTTTTGACATCTCATCTCCGGAATATAATAAAGAAGTGGAAAATTACTGCGAAATCTTTGAAAACTATGTTGTAATTTTTTTAAACTGTTTATGTGGAAATGAATTGCTGGATATTTCATGAGAGGACAGGCGTAATATGTGATTAATATTAGACAATCGTATATTAACCCTATGGAGGAATTTAGACATCAGTGTTTAAATTCTTTTCCTGGTTGCCGGTACTTCTGCTATGCAGTATCCATATGTATCATCCTCTCTACCATACTAAATCATTTTTAATTAACCTGGTCTTTTCTGTATTTTTATTGTTTCTAAACAATTTATAATAAGCGGCATCAAATTCTTTCGTTAATCGTAAAGTAATTTTATTATTGTCATCTGATAAAGTTCTGTTTTCTTCAGCTTTTAAGTCGTAATAATCTACGTTTTAAATATTGTAACGTTAATAGAGTTGAGACTGCTTTCAGAAATGACAATGAAATCTGGAAAGTGTCTGCAATAATATATGCAAATAAATTTAAACTAAATGTTTAGTTTAAATTTATTTGCTTATATTTATTGCAGACACTTTCGTGTTTGTTTTGCCGCTTATTTTTGCACTTGAAAGTAATTAGGGTACTGATTATTTAAAACACACCAGAAGTATTTGAAATATTTTGAACGTGATAAAAAGGCAGTTTAAAAACCATCTTGATAAGTTTTCAAATACTGTGCGAATTAGAATTAAAATATAATATTCAGGATTTTGAAGAAACAAAGTTCGGAATTAAAAACTAAAATGTAAACTGAAATGACATTCATATTTTCAGTAGATTTCCAAATTTTATTTTTAAGACTGTGTAAGAGACATTAGGTTATTTTGAAGCAGGAAAGAGGAAAAATGAGCAATGCCCTCACCGGGAATCGAACCATGGACATCTCGAATACGCCGAGCGTGCAGACCACTACACCACAAAGGCACGCTAAGAAGGCGGGAGAAATACCGTATATTAGGATAACCCAATCGCCAAATCCTGGTGGTGAAGAGTCATCATTCACCAACTTTAGTTCGGGCGCCACGGTAGAAACATTAGGTTATTTCAAATCAGGAAAGTTGAAAAATGAATTTATTGCCCTCGCCGAGAATCGAATCACGGATCTCTCAAATACGCGCCGAGCGTGCAGACCACTACACCATGAAGGCACAAGAAATACCTTATAACTGTAATTTAAGTCATAACATTTACTGTCAAATATTGTTTTTTATATGTAATGAATTTTAAAAACTTTCTTCCATATTGTATTCTATGTGAAAGAGTGATATAATTCATTATTGTAGTGCATTGGCTTTAGAGTATTATTGTAGTGCATTGGCTTTGTTACCGAAATTTACTTTGGAAATAAATAATGCAAGCAATTTTTCCCTACTGCATATTCTGTTTATGTAGATTTTCAAATTATTTTAATTTCTGCATTTTTATTTCTAGAGCTGACATAGGCCCTCATTGGGCTTGCAGTTATGGGTCAAAATCTCATCCTAAACATGAATGATCATGGATTTGTGGTAAGAACGTATTTATAATAATCTGTGCTTATTCTCTCTTATTTTCATGTGGAATGAAGAATAGCTTGACATCTTAATGTTTCTACTATGTATAATTTTGTTACAAATTTGCTTCATGTGACAAATTTTGATTTTTTTTTAATAATAAATGAGAAAAGAACAATGGGCATTGTAAAGTCTATGCATTATTGTTTTTAAACAAATTATTTTCATTATTTTAATATAATATTAATGCAATGATTGACTAATGTTTAATTTATTTAATTAATGAGATATTTGTTTCCTAGCTCTTTCACTTAGTTTTTGCAAGTCGATCTCAATGCATGTATTTGCACATCGTATTGATGTTGCAGGTTTTCGTCCTTTAGGTTTGAGCGCGATTTATCTTTAATACATTTCATTTTCGAAAAAAAAAAATGATTTGCAGGTGTAAGTTGATCCAGAAGCACTCACTAATTTTTGTGCCAGATCTCTCAATTTGGAAATTTTTTTTGTGGTGGAAGTGTTATAAAAATCTATTTTTAATTGTGATATTTCAAAAATGAGTTTTAATTCATTATTGCATTGTAAGTCAATCAGTAGTTCCATTTAAAGATATTCTGAGGCCATCTGGACATTGATATGGAAGGGAGATGAATATATTTCAGATAATTTTTTTGTATTTGTCTAAATTAGCGAAACGACTCTCAAAAGTAGCTGCAAGTTTGCTTACTTCTTTTGCATATTTGATGTAATTGATACATTTTGAATTTTTTAATTCTTTCATCAATGGAAAGTGTTGAACATTATTATTTTTCAACTGAGATTCATATAACAATAATTTCTTCTAAAATGCTTTGATGTGATTAAATGCATCGATTATTAAATTATCTTTTCCTTGAATTGATGTATTTAATTGAGTTTTTTGATGATATCTATTAAAAAGCATGAATCCAGTAACTATTCATCATTTCTTAATTCTGGTACTGATCCATGCTTGTCATTCACAAACAAGTCAATTTCTTGATGTAACTCATAAAATCACTGTACACATCTTCTACAACTCAAACATCTGACACGACTGAAGTATACAACGTCAGCATATTGACAATCTAATTCTTTTAGGAACTCCTTAAATTGTTGATGCGGAAGTGCATGTGATTGAATGTAATTCACTACTTGCGCAACATGATTCATCGATAATACTTGGGCGCATAGATTTTTTTGAATAAAACGGGTAGATCATAATTAAATCATCTCTTCTTTTGCAGCAGTTAATAGTTTTGTTGTTGGATTCTATTTTATCGATCAGAAATTTTATAGATTCTTTGTTATTTTAAACCAAACATAGCAGGTGCCCCATCAGTCGGTGTTCAGAAAGAATTTCCAAACACAAGTTGTTTTTCATAAACAGTTTTCAACAGCATGGAAAGTATCTTCCCCTGTTGCCATATCCTTCAAACTTATCAAATTCAGCATTTCTTGAGTTACTTGAAATGATTCATTTACATTTTTTTACAAAAATGCCGGCTATCGGAAAAAGTTTTACGATTTTATTAGACAAGTGGGTTGGAACCAAAAGTAAGAAGGAAGTGAAAAGCTTCCAAACATCCGAAGTAATACATGCCCATTTCAAGCTGCTGACTTTATTTTTTTACATAAAAGAATATTCCTCAAAAATTCAGTGAATAACTTTTTACAAAAAATGCCAGCCATCGAAAAAATTTGGCCATTTTATAATACGAGAGAGTTAGAACCAAAAATCAGACGGAAATACCTATTCTTTAGTTTTTAAATCAACTTAAATTTTATTTTAATGGAATTTGTATTACTTGGTTGTTATTGTTGAAAATATATTTAAATAATTGTCCCGCAGTCATGACATACAAAACGAAACAGGAAAACGAATTTTCACTTGACGCTGAGATAGTTCTATTGTCAATAATCAACAGTGAGAGAAGACTCGGCAAGTGGCCAGTGCACTGCTCTACTGCACATATCTAAGTAGGCAATAAGCAGCATGATAAAGTTACAGGAATTAAGCTTGGTGCTGCGGGATGTCGTTGCAATGCAATAAGGCCCACTTCTAAGTATTATAAAAACAAAAGCAACGTGCTAAAGTAGAAATAGTTATGTTATTTATTTGTTACAAAACACTACACTACAAACAAAAATATTGCACAAAATAATCATATGTTTTAAAGTTATAATGAATCTCCGAGCCTCAAAATTAAGCAAAGCGAGCTGTAGTTTGGCCATCCCTGGTGCTGTACTATAAGGAACCTGTTTTGAGTCATTGGAGGCTGTTAAGAAGAAAATATCATATCTATTAAAACAGTTATCAGAAAATGAACTACAGCAAACTTGTGACTAGTGGAAAATTATAATGGGTTGATGTGCGAGTGCCAGTAGGAAATACATCAAAGGTGACAAACAATAAATTAAAAATCCTAAATTATAAACAAATATCCTTTTTTTTTTAAATAAAAGTCAATCCCATTACTATTAAATAATCCTGTTAAGAGACAAAACTTGTATATTCAGCTTATCATATTCACAGATATTGGAATGTATGCCTGAAGTTTATTTTTAAGTATTTTAACATTGTTTTGAAGCTTTTTGTTATTAACATTCTTCTTAAAACTTTTATTTTATTCCATCTAAAGCAGTAAATGAACAAATTAAATTGCAGGTATGTGCCTATAACCGCACTGTTGATAAAGTTGAAAAATTTTTGAATAATGAAGCCAAAGGGACCAAAGTAATTGGTGCACGTTCATTAGAAGAAATGGTTGCTAAACTAAAAAAGCCGCGAAGAATCATGATGCTTGTCAAAGGTAATAAATTGACTTTTTTATATTAATATATATTTCATACACAATTTTGATTTTTAATCAAATGTTACATATCATAAAGAAAATATATGGAATGTTTTCCTCATGTTACAGAAACTACTTCCATAACTTACTTTTCTTATTTTTGCATTCTTTTCCATGTATTAATATTTCTTTATTTCCTAAATGTGTATACTTTAGTTGGTTAAATTCTTTCTCTCTGTTTTAATGCCTTTGATTTTGCAACTTTTTACATGAGCCCTTTCTGGTGAAAGCTACCTTTAAAAGTCGGAATTTTTATTAAAAAAAAAAAAGGGGGTAGGCAGTCTAATTGGGCCTAGAGGAGTACACAAGTAAAATTTTGTGAAGTTTAGCACTTATCATTTTAATTCTGTGGGCACACTGATTGAATAGAGCTTTGAAAAGAGTGCTGAAATGAGCATTGTTGTCAATGAACTGACCGATAAGATGCGGAGAAACAAAGAATACAGACTCTCAGTTGTCCTAGATTATCGGTGAGCCCGGTCTGGGCACACCTAGGGTTCGCCGTTTGATTTTAGACAAGATTTCAAGATACAAATTTAAACTAATATAGAATAAGGAGATTAGCATACAGCCAAAAAAACAACATTTATTTTTCTTTTCAAACAATTCCTTTTATACCCTAAAAAAATTCTGGAGGATTTCTTTGAAAAATGAGGGTCTTAAAACACTAAACATGGCTAAAATATACGGACTGGTTTGTGTTGAGCTGCCATCTACAATAAATAAAGAAGGCTCAGAGTAACCTATAGTAAGCTATAAATCCTTTTTCATTCAATTTTTCTGTGTGTATAGAAAGAAATTTTTAGGTGTGCCGCAAAGGGTTAAAGAAATCTGTGAAAATTGTTTTGTGGAACCCAGTGGTAACTGCAACTGTTATAGAAGTTTATTTCAGCAGACTGAAATAATTAGTTGCACATATATTTTCTAACTGTTACAAAAGACTTTTTTTTTTTTTTTTTGGTACAATATTAACTCAAACTTATGATTATATTAGTATGCTGATCTAGTTGTAATTAATCACTTTAAAAAACCTCTCCTCTCCCTCCCCAAAGAAGTCTCATTAACCACAAAAAAGAAATTACCTGTGTTCAGCGATTTTAATATGTTTATGCACAGATGGCAGAAAATGAGAGCATTCCATGATGATTTTGCCTCAGCATTTGAAAATGCGTAGCGAAATTGGAAAAGGAAAATTTGATACTAGTATGGGATTAAGTATGGGAAAATACTTAAAAAGCTTTAAGTATGGGATTATAAAAATGAAGTAAAGATTCCATGTCTGTCTTAAAAGTGTAATTTAATATATTAATAAGAGTAATAGTAAGTGGCATTAATGCACACTGTTTAAACTTAATCCCTTTCAGTCTCAAGTGAGTGCAAGCCTTGACTTGCTCCCCCATTTACCTGACTTACTTTGAAACCCTTAAAAATCTGTCCCCTTCCATCTTAAAATTTTTTTTTGTTTTGTTTTGTAAATTGTTTCATTGAAGTAAGAAAAATATTTTATTACGCATTTTTGTCTTCAATCTTTTACTTTTTGTTAACTTGTCTTCCATCTGATAGTTGCATTTCTGATGTTGCAAAGTGCATATGTCAGTTATATCTTTCTAGAATTTTGTAATTTTTAGAAATATGCTATAGACTTTTTTCTTCCTTCTACTTACTGGAAAGGTTGTTGATATATTTGTGTTTTTCTTAAACATCTCATTTTAAGTATTTCTGTTCTTAATCTAAAATAATGTTAAATGTTAATGAAATTTAATTCATTTTATAAACTGTTTTTATCTGCTTAATAAAGAAAATAATGGAAATGAGAGCATAATAATTTTAAAATGTTATGACTTAAACATTCTCAAAAAATCGTGCCTATTTTTGCTTATTTTTTATTAAAAAATTTCCTGATTTCATATATATTTATCAAATACATTATTTTTCATGTAGCTGGTGAAGCTGTTGACAGCTTTATTAAGCAACTGATCCCTCTTCTTGAGCCTGGCGATATCATAATAGATGGTGGTAATTCTGAATATACAGATACTAATCGAAGGTGCAAAATGTTGAAGGAGAAGAATTTATTTTATGTTGGCTCTGGTGTTAGTGGTGGAGAGGAAGGTGCACGAACCGGACCCTCACTTATGCCTGGTGGTTCCCCTGAAGCTTGGTAATCATTCATTGCTTATTCAATTTTATGTAAATATTTTTTTTTATTTTTTTAATTAAGTGTTTGTGAAGGTTTTTTTTAAAAAGTAGCATATTTGTAAAAAATATTTTAATTGCAAACTTTAGTATTATGCTGCATTTGCCCCCAAATCCATTTTTATTAAATTAAAATATAAGCTGCTTTAAAATGATATAAAGACAATTTTTCTTTCATTAAAGAAATTATAGTACTATAATTTCTTTAATGTGATATTTTCTATAATTATTCATATTGTATTTTCCATATGCTTTAATATGGTATACTGTAAAATGGTTACAAAAGTATAATTGTTCCTGTTAACTTCTTTCATATGAATCTAAAAATTTACCAAATGGAATATTATATACTTTATTCTTCTTTTGAAGTAACTTTATTATGTTTAGAGTTTCATAAAAAAAATCTATTTCTAAAAAATGGCAGGTTGGTCCAAGTATAATATGCAAGATAATCCTGAAATTTTAAAGATTCTTTTTAACATGCTTAATTTTTAAATAAAAACTATATTACTTTTAGATATTTACCTTAGAATGCTACCCTTTGAAAAACTTAAGGGAATAGTAACCATTCATCTACGAGACAAATTGTGCTTGAGCGTGTTTAAAAACCTATTTTAAAAGTTAATTGAAATAAAAGTATACTACCCGCAGATGATTTCAGGACTCTGAAACTTCAAGGTAGCAAGAAAGTATCATTTATTTGTTCTTAAAGCAGTCATTACACATACTAGCATGTTGTTCTCTGCGCATTACTCTGAAACATATTTGACAAAAGTTGGGAGTCATTGTGTGCAAAATGTACAGGAAAAAGCACATTCCCCCCCCTCTTTTTTTTTTTTTTTTTTTTTTTTTTTTTTTTTTTTTTTTAATACTGTCAGATTGTTTAGTAGGAGGTTTCAACAGTTCCCTAATAATTGTTCTTGTTGATCGAGGCAAAGTCGGTATGCTGTAACTCTTCTTCATCCATGGAGCAAGAACATCTTCACTTAGCTTTTATTGCCAACTTTTTTCTTGATGATGCCTTTTCGGATTTCATTAAACTCATATTTATCATGCTGCGAAACTCAAAAAAAGGCCGTTGCCGAGTTTTCTACTACATGACATCTTGTTGCATTATCTGATCCAATGCATTTGCAGTCCCTTTTAAGGCTTAGTTCTTTGGTTCTTTAATAAATGGATAATATTGCGTGATGATGTACTTGTGTTGCTTGATTTAGGAGCAGATAACTACTTATCTTTACCACTGTGCTGAATTTTACCAGGGTAAATAACAGATTTTTCATGACTAAAAAAATTTTGGAATTTTTTAACTTTTTAAACATTTACTTTTTAAACTCCATATTTCAAATTTAATTTTTCAACTTGTTTTACAATTTCTTTTTTAGCTCCATATTTCAAATGAGAATTTTCATCCTCCTGGGTTTGTTTTTCAAACATTGTTTCTTCGTCATTTTTATTGTGAAGTGATAATTCCTGATTTCCATCTTTGTCACTATCTGTGAATTCGTGATTTTCAACCTCAGCAAAATCTTCTTTCTGCCATTCGGCCCAAGAAATATAATTTTCTTCATCACTCTTGGGTAGCCTCAGGTCTACCCCAAAAATTTTCTCCGCGAAAACTCTTTGACTTCTTCAAGGCGACACAGAAATGAACTAAAGTCGGATTTTTAAATGAAACGTTACAGCTAACCATTTGCCTATGAGATGAATATTGTTCTAAAAATGCTCTATGCAAAAATATTCTGGTAAGAAACCAAGTTCATATAAAGGTACCGAATCGCACATCCCAATTCCTGTTTTAGAGAAGGCCGGGCAAGGTTATTTTGTATGGTCTTCGTGTAGGAGACAAATGGGTAGCATTCTAGGGTAAAATAGCCTTACTTTTATGAGCTTAGCTGAAAATTTTCAACAAAAAATGTAATTTAAGTGATCTATATATGCCTTATGGTAAATAGTTTATACTTCGCATTTGGAACAAGAAAGAATGAGCTATCTAAACTAAAAATTTACATAAAACTTCCCCAATACACTTTTTAAATTATCTAATCTAAAAATTTACTAGTTGGAATATTATACATTTTATTTTTCTTAATTCAGGGTTGGCCGCCAAGCTTATCTGGAATATAATTTACAGATATGGTAGACTTCCTCTCTTTTCTTTTCACCCAGATAAGGCTGGAGGCAACATCATAATCTACTGATACATAGTAAAAATATAAAATACTGATACAACACATGGAGAGCTAATAGTGGATTGAAAAAGCAGGTCATTGGGCAGGCCACCTCTGGTTTAAGCTTTTAATTGCATACTTATATATTGAAATGAATATAAGATGTAAACAAAAGTAATTTTTGATTTGATGTAATTTTAGTATTTTCAATATTCAAATTAATAATTAACAATTCATTCTAGCAAACAGTGTATTAATTGAATCAGAAGTGTTAGAAAAATATTTTAACAGCAATATCAATGATTGTATAATGCCATTTATATATACATTATACACAGTATTCTAAAACGATACTAATGCCTTTATTCCCTTAAATGTTGATCCTAAATATTAATTTTCATTATATATTCCCAAAATAAAGTAGCAAATTGTATGAAAGACATTTCAGCACTTTGCTTGGAGAAGATTCTGTAAATATATAACCTAACTTTCATGTGTCTCAGGTAAAGCAAAAATTCCAGTTAAGTATTTACTGTATTATTGTAAGTTAAATAAGCAAAGCTCTATACTTGTAGTGTAAAATTTACAGAGATGTTCGACAGGGAATTTTTTACTGGGGTAATTTTTTAGTGCTTATTTCTGATTTAGGTTCGGTATTTTTCATCCACTTATGGACAACTATCAATGGAAAATGATCCCATATTGTGTAAAACATCTCTCATCAATAAATCTGTACCTGCTGTGAAAATTTTATATGAATAGAATATTTTGTATTCAACTTACTGTAATGTAATGAATATTTTACTAATTGGAATTTTTGCTTCGTGGGTATTATAAAAAGTTGTATTTTATATTTTCAGAATTGTTTTATTTATTAAATTGTCAACCTTATTTTGAGAAACTTTGTAAAAGAAAAGCTATGTTTTCAATCGATTTTTAAATGATTAAAGAATATAGAGCCACCTTTTTAAATACCTTGTACAACCCCAAACTGGCAAAAAAATCACTTTTGATGCAAGAATTTATTTACAGCATTCTTGTAACTTGATGAACAGATGCCAGATGATGATAATGAGCACATCAGTAGTACTACAGCTAATATAAAAGAATTAAAAGAAATTGAGAACAGAATTTTGGGTCAGTCATTAGAATCTTTCTACTTGCATGTCTTCAAGCCATGAAAGTTTTTTGAACAGGCATTTTGTTTCATTAAACAAGAGCTCATTTTAAACATTTTCAGCAGTGGCAGAAGCTTATTAATAGTCCGTAATCTCTTGGTAGACTTTAGTGATGTAGCGTTTAAAATTCAAGGACTGTGTTCCAACCATGGAAGGGGAGGGAGGTGATAATTCTATAATTTCCAAATTTCGTTGTTAATCCAACAGGCTTCTCCAAACAGTTGTTGTTAGGTTTTTGTGAGCTGTATGATGTAGAATGCTAGATCATAAAATATGAATCATGATCTATCATTGATCAATGGTCCAGTGATACTTGCATATAGCAATCCAAGTAGTATTAGGTACTGGCAGATATAATCATTAGCTTTAAAGATGCAGAATGACAAAGAAAATCAAATGTATTCATCTCTAAATATACAGTCCTATCATTGTTTCCCCCATCCCCTTGAATCGAGACTGGATTTGTTTACAGCAATTAAGGTTGTCTGAGGAATTTTTTTTTTTTTTTTTTTTTTTTTTTTTTTTTTTTTTTCCCCCCAAAACGTGCACTACAAACTTTGTGGACCCTAATTTTTCAAGTTCTTGGGATGACAAGGTTGCTTGGTATGATGATTTTATGATAAATTACTGGAGTAGACCTTATGGCCAATTCAGCCATGAAGAAATTTGATCATGTGGGCTCCAGCTATCATATCTCATTCAAAAACCCTTGGCCTGACTCTTTATAAAATGGATGTAGCAATCCCTAGTCACTCTCACCCTTCAAAGGAATAATCATCTTGGTAGACAGGGTTCATGATCCTGGAGTTACCAATGATCTTTTCACCTTTTTCTCTTTATATACTTTCTATAATTTTTCTATGCTTGTGGGTTCCCTTTTCAGAGTTTGGGATTGAAGATGAAAGCCTGTTATATACCTTTGTGTCTAGTTTTTCATAGAGAGAAAAACCATCTGTGTGTTGTGACCCATATGGCTGGAAATGAGCATGCTGTAACATTTAATAATTTGTAAATGGTAACATTTAATATTTAGTAACTTGCAATTGGCAACACTTTGGATACAGATATGAAAATAGAACTATGCTGGTATTGCAGTTCTCTGTGATTATACATTCTAAGATTGTAAATAAATAGTTTCTAAAGGCTAAAAGTGTACCCTCATAATAATATATGCTGTCAGGAGTGTTTTGCTTTCAAAATGGAAAGTTTAAAACCACCAGAGCCGATGAAATTTGATGGAAATCTAGCTTCGAATTGGCAGAGATGGCTGCAATCATTTGAAATATATGAAGTAGCTAGTGAATTACATAATAAAGAAGAGAAGGTAACAGTTAATACTTTTCTTCATGTAATAGGAATTCGTGGTCTTGAAATATATAATACATTTCCTATAGAAGAGGGTAAAGAAATTAAATTAAGTGAAATTAAAACAAAATTTATGGAATATTATATTCCTAAGAAAAATATTACATATGAAAGACATTTATTCTTTACTAGAAATCAAACTGCATCAGAAACTATAGATGAATACGTAACTGACCTTCGAAATAAAGCTAGAACATGCGAGTTTGCACAATTAACGGATAGTTTAATAAAGGATAAAATTGTTTGTGGTA